GGAAGCTGAAGAATCTGTAGTTTTACCAGCCCCCTTTGCCTCTGCTCTGTCCCAGGGAGCTGACCCCAACTCCCTGAGCGAGGAGGAGCGCCCTGCCCTCACAGTTGCTGTCCTGAACAAGCACACAGGAGCCATCTCCCCTCTGGTGCAGAAAGGGGCTGACATTGACCAGCAGTCAGGGCCGTAAGTGAGTTCTGATCCTCTGCCTCAGCTCTTCCCAAGTCTCACCAAAAGAAATCACACGTGCTCCTGTTTCAGAGAGAACGAAACCCCATCTCTCCTCCACAAATATGTTCCTTTCAAGGACAGTATCCACACTCCCTCTTCCAGCTGCCAGCTTTGAAGATTTCTCATAATTTGTTATAAAAGCTGCTGTTCTGTTCAGTTCCTTCCCCCACCCACTTCAATTTAATATGATAAACATCACCAAAACCTACCACATTTCTCATGTGTTCTGTGTCCTCCTATTCATCTTCCTACGTTTTATTTGCTAAGTTTCCTTAGGTATTAAGTGCACTGCTCATTCCTCCTGTGCAGGCACAACAACACAGCTCTCCATGAGGCAGTTCTGCTGGGACTGGAGGGAGAGGAGAGCATCCGAGCCCTGCTATGGTAGGTACTGTGGCTGGGCCTCCAGCTCAGCTGCAGGCTCCCCCCAGCCTGGCACCACCACTGGAGGGCCAGAGCCTGCCCCGTGTCCCTGTGGGAAGGAGCATCCAGAAATTCCACAGTTACTCCACATCAACATTCACCACAAGCCACTTCATCACTAAGTGCACTGAATTTAAGCAGTTTAAACCAATGTGTTCTGTACTTACAGCTGCAATGCAAGCGTGCAAAAGAAGAATGCAGCAGGGCACTCAGCGCTGGATTTGGCTGCTGCAGCTGGAGATAATAAGGTTATTTCACTGCTCCAAGTAAGTCTGGATAGAGAACACTAAGCAAACTTATGTGACACAGGAACATTTTTCTCATCAATGTGTTATTACAACAAACTTTTTCCCCAAATAAAGCTGAAGGTTGTTTAACTTTGGGAGCACCTGATCACATGTGTCCAGCTCTGTCTGCAGAATCCACGACCCTGTGTGATCAGCTTGGGCCCTGTAACAGTCAAACAGTTTCTCCAAGACTGCCCCATTCCTTTCCAGCAGTTCAGAGCACAATTCCCCTCTGACTGCACTCTACTCTGCAAATTTCCTTTCCAAACAAAGGGACAAACCAAACCTTCCCAGGCACAAATACATTTCAATGTCTCTGAAACGTCTGTAATTCCTGATGGACACTGCTTATGAGAGTTTGACACTTGAGCAACAGCACTGCAAGCTGTAACTGATGAGCTTCATTTCCTTTTTGATGGTAAAACTGCAACCAGTGCAGCCCATTGCAGTACAGGTCAGAGTCTTGTCCTCCAGAAAATCGAGTAAAACTACTTTGTTGTTCTGCCTTCAACTTTTATTTATAAATGCATCAACACGAGGCAGCAGCCAACTACAAACAGAAGTTTACAAGAATACCAGGCACACTAAGGTGTGGTATAACTCAGTGTTATTAGCCACAATCCTAAATCCCTCAAATATTTTTAAAACTTCTACATCCCAAAGTATCTAAAAGCATCAGTAGATTCAGTACAAACATGGAAATACATGTCAACTCCTATGAGAAACATAAGTTTTAGCACCAGAGCTACCAGTATCTTTATGAGACAGCAATACCTCTAAACAGGTGGATTTACAACAGCACAAAACAAAACACCAAAAAAACAAACAAAAACAAAACAAAACAAAAAAAAAAACCACCCACAAGTAAACCCACAAATAATAATCCTGTAAAAACCAGCATGAAAATTAGAAGAATCCTTGCAGAAAAAGATTTTGTATGCAATGCATCAAACCCCAGGTACTTTCCAGACAGACTGGGAAGAGTGAAGCAGAATTCCCTCTGCTCCTCAGGGACAGCCAGTCTGGAAGCAGCCTCAGGAAACACGGCCATTCAGTCACAGGGGCAGTGCCACAGCATGTGGACAAGAGAGATGTCACTGGCAACTCTGAAGCTGCAGCAGTCTAGGCCAGATTCTTTATACTACAGCGCTGGATCTTGGCTTTATCTTCAACCTTGGTCATCTTCTGAGAAACCTCTTTCTTCTGCAAAGAGTAAAAGGGATACGATGTTATTAAGTGGAGTATGTTCAGCTTCGAGGAGAAAGCAGGATACATCCTGCATAAAGCATGGCTGAGAACCAGGAAAGGGGACACCGGCCGATGCAGCCCGAGCCTGGATGCAACAGGCACTTTGCACAAAGCCTCGTGTTAAGGAACGAGGCCAGCTGAACACTTCAAAGACAGGAAGCCGTGTACGTACAAGTGCCTTTCTCGTTCGCATTTTTTCCAGCTTCAGGAACTCCTGCACCGTCAGCTTAGGAGGTTCTTTCTGAAGAGAAAGAAAACCACAGGCGGCAGTGTGTTTTTTGTGCTCCTCCCTGAAAAGAGGCATAAAGAAAGAGAAAATAAAAGAGAAGGCAGCAGCTCCCAGCGAGCCACACGCAGCCGCTCTCCCCTGCCGAGCCCCTCGGCTGCCACCAGCGGCTCCCCCGGGCCGGGGCGGCCCCGATCGGGGCGGAGGCCGAGGGATCCCCCCGGTACTCACAGGGGGTCGTCGTCGGGCTCCCAGCCCTCCAGCTCCTTGAGGCAGTAGAAGCACTGCGCCACGTCGGGGCTGTTCTCGCTGGGGCTGTGCACGAAGCCCGCCGCCGCCATCTGCGGGCACAGGAGAGGCCGTCAGCGCCCGCCCGGCCCCGCTCCCGCCGCCCCGGCCCCGCCGCCCCGGCCCCGCGCTCACCCGCTCGGGCGTGCAGGCGCAGCCCTCGGTGAAGGGCCAGTTGTGGAAGGTGGCGGCGCGGACGGAGTCGAAGTAGAGCCGCCACACGTCGGGCAGCACCTCCCGGCCCTCCATGGCTCCGTTCAAACGGCCGCGCGCGCGGGGCAGGGCGGGAGCGGGGCGGGCCCGCCGCCCTCACGGAGCCCGCGCAGCCAGCCGAAAGGAAGCTTTTCCTTGTGGCAGCGAATCGGAGCTCAGGGAAACTCTCGGGCTTTGCCGCCCTATTAGGAAAGGGTGAGGTTCCGCCTTTATTCTCCGGGAAAGCCGTGCTTTGTCGGGCTGTGCTCGGCTCCTCCTCTCCGTGCTACGGTCGCTGCCCGGCGGCGGGAAGCGCGGAGGAGCCGCGCCGGGGAGCAGGGCGGCGGTGGCTCCTCAAGCGCAGCTCGGGGGAGCCAGCAGCCGGCTCCCGAGGCACCAGAGGGAAGCAGAGGGCTGGCAACACCGTTCGTCTGCTTGTTTCACTACGTACCTTAGAAGAACCTCACCCCTTACAAAGGCATGGGCTCCCACCCCGAGGATCACTTCACTGCCTTTGGGGATCGGGGGTTAAACGAGGGACCTGGATAGAACAAGCTGGCTGCAGCTCAGCAGGTGACACAAGGCTGTCATAACACAATCGGCACTCGGCAGTCCCTGAGGGACAAAGCCACAGAGCAAGATGGTCCTCAAGATCTTCATGGTCACCTTTGAGAACACAATGCAGAACCAGCTATCTTCTCAGACTACTTTATATTTCCTAATTCTGTCTGGAAAGGAGGAGCTTGCTAAGGCCTGCATGTGCGTGCCTTCTCTGGGGGTGCCCGTAGGGAAATGAGTTTCTTGCCTTGGTTAGCTGCCCACACATATCCTCTTAGGGCCATACTGGAGTTTGCTAAATTCCAGTGAAATAAGGTGATGGAGAGACACCTTAACAAACAGTATGACTACAGACAAGCTTTTCCAAGGGAAGGGCTTTAATTCCATTCATAAAGACATATATTTCTTTTCTTTCAAAGTCCAGGTAACTCATAACATTAAGAACACTGAAAATTTTCACAGTCATGAAACAGGCAGAAATGTGCATGGATGTCTGGGCACACAACCCATGGCTGGGCTGGTTTTCCTTTCCTCGAGCACTGGTTTTGTGTTGGTGATGATGGACACTGGCTACACAAAAACATACTTTGTGTCCCTTTCTCTTCTGTTACCAAAATGAAGACTCCACTAAGGCAATTACTGCTATAGTAAGGTAGCCAGCAGGTACACACAGTAGATTAAGGACAGAAGTCACATTTGGTGTGCAGCTCTCTGTGGGCTTGATGTGAAAGGAGCATCCCAATGGATGTGATCCATAGTTAAAATGCACAGCCTGACCTTTGGTCAGTGGAGCTTTCTGTTCATCTGCACTGAAAGGCAGAGAGAGAAGCTGCTGCATTGTGGAAAAGGACAAGAGCCACTACCAGAGAAATCGTTTGGGGTTGTGGTTTTTAATTCTTGGGTATTTCTATTTATACTTTGCCAGGTGAGCCTAGGTGCTTCCAAGAACTAGATCTGGGCCACCTCTGCCCTCTCCTCCCTCCAAGCTGCCAGCAGACTGCTTCTACAGATCAGAGCCGGCATTTCAAACATCCCCGCTGACTTTTGCTCTGGGTTTCTTCCAGCCAGAGCGCCTGTAGCAGGAGGAGGTGGGTGCTGGAGCCCGTGAGGCTGCTCTGTGGCTAGTGGAGTGCCCAAAGGGCTGATCTGCAGACCAACAACCACAGAGAGGTGGAACGATTCCAAAGAGCTGATCTGGCAGCTGCGGTGCCCTACCTTTGCTAGACACAAACGCACCTGACACCGCTCCTGAACACAAAACACTGCGCGCTACGAGAACGTCACACTGAGCACGGGGCAAGCAGGGGAACGGAAGGGAAGGCAGCAGGGAAGGAGCAAAACAAAGGTGTCTCCTCTGAGCCTTGCACTTGGGATAACAGGAATCCACACACTCTTCAGTAGTCCCGAAACGTGGTTCCAGGACTACGGTTCTGGCATGTGCAGAACTTCCCTAACGTGAACATCCAGCGACAGGCACCAATACCTTACTTCCCTTCACAGACTCAAGACAGTTCCTAACAAAGCAATCAAACCACAGAAACACTGAATGGTTTAAGTTTAGGTGTTCATTTTTGCTAATAAACAAAAACAGAGACAAAAAACCTGCAACATTTTTTGGACAGGTTTCAAAAACTTGAAATCCATGGGGCCCCTCTGAAATGAGAAACACTTTTTTGTTTGGTATTTTTTTTTTGCTAATGAGGCTCTCCAAAGTAACAGTGGCAGGAAAATTCCCCATAAGGAATTTCAATTTTCCAGTGGTTTCAGTGTATCCTAGTTGGCATTTCCAGGCCTCTCCCCTTGGAGCACAGGAATCAATCCTTTTGGATTGCATTTTCCACACAGAACATCTCACCACTGACATCCAAAGTCCTAGGAATAAACACACCAGCGTGTTCCAGCTCTCCTGTGGCAGCCAACATCCTCCACCAAAAGCTGGGGGAGTTTTTTGGATGGATTGGGCTTTTCCCCAGAGCCCTCCCGCAGCTCAGCGCCGCAGCCTGAGGAAGAAGGCGTGCTTGCACTCCTTGCTGTCCAAGGGGTAGTACTTGTCATAAAAATCCAAAATGTACTCCTCGGTCTTAAATCCAAACTTCTGGTAGAGCAGCATAGCAGGGTTGCTTGCAGAGACGTGAAGGGTGACGTCCTTGCCCATGCAGGTCTGCCAAAGGGAGGGGGAGAGGAAAAAAAAGGAGATATCACTGCAAGAGAACGAGACAGCCTCTGGGGGAATGCGGAGGTGAGGAGATTCATCAGCTCAGGGATCCAAGGTACTGAGGAAATGTGAGAAAAGTCACAGGAGTTACCACACATAGCAACAGCAAAGGGAGCGCTGCTGCTGCTCCTCCAAGCCTTTGTTTCTGGGAAACATGGATTCTCTGACAATGAAAGGTTTGGGATTATAATTTGTCATCTGCCCATTGTAAATTACTAAAGTAATTGTTAATTAAAAATAATCTTGGTTTACAGCCCTGATCTCAAATACAATGGCCTGAAGAAAAGACAAAACACGCCAGAGGATCAGGCTCTGCACTCCTCCCTGTCAGCAAACAGAGCTGAGCTCTGTGGGACTGCCTGAGCACCTCTGTGCTGTCACACTGGAATTCCTGCCTATCCCACCCAGCTCCTCTCCCATCCTTCAGGGCACAGCACTCGCCTCCTCCTGAGAAGGCAGGAAATTCAGTTCAGACAGCAAATAATAGCATGGCTGAAGTTACCTTCAAGATCCTAAATTATTCTAACCAGCAACACTGACTAAGATGCTGAAATAATTTATTTTCTGCTTTCATCAAGTGATTTAATAGCATTCCATGTATATTGAGTGTATTGTAACTCTAAAGTGGGAACACTAATACCCTCTAGGAAATCTCCAAGATAGTACATTCAAGGGGAAAACTCTCACGAATTTAAGGAGGGCAGGAAAGAAAAAGAAATAATTGGAAGCTGTTTTAGGGAAAAGAAAATTTGAATGAAATCATTAAGAAAATGCAGTTTATTCCTCTGGGACAGATGCATTAGGCGATACATTTTGACAGCAAAACCAGCCATCACTATTTGCATCAAACCATTTTCCTGTTAAGTTATGCTGTTCCCAAGCATTCAGCCCCAAACTCAGCACACTGATCCCAAAGTCAGCGACCTACTCTTAATCCAAGCAGAGCATTAAAGTATCTCCAGCTACAGAGAGGAGACTCCAAGCCCAAGCAGGTTGCAAAGCAGCACCTGCAACCTGGACACTGAGGAACAGAAGGTCACAACCACCATCATTCCACAGGACCAAACCGTTGTCAGAAAGTCAGCAATGGCAAAATAAACCTCATGTGAGCCAAACATACAGTGCTGATCTCTCATTGCTAGCGTGCCTAATCAGACTCAAATCTCTCAAATCTGCTAGGCTTTTCTGAACAGGGAATTTCATGCAAGCAGGATTAGGTTAATTGATGTGATACATCCTACAAAAAGGTGTGAGGATTTTCTGTGGCTGACTTGCCAACTCCAGCATCCCAGCTCTGCTGGAGAGGGAAGTCTCTGAGAGTCCACCTGCTGGATCCCTGCAAACCTTGGCGCCTGTTCCCACTGGGTGTTGACATCTCACATCAACACACTGAGCTGAGGGCAATTTCCTTCAGCACTTGACACAGAGCTGCCTGGGAGATGCAAGGGGTGAGTTTAAAGAATATTGATTAGAGGCCTGTGTCAGCACTGCAGAGAGCTGTGCAGGTAGCAGAGTTACCCTCGGGCGGCCCAGGAGCACAAAGTGCTTTTCCAAAGCAGGGATCACTTTCCCCAAGGCTCTGCCAGCACTCCCTACTTTGCTTTAGCCAAGAAAGAAAGAGGATAAAACAGCTTCAACGGTGAGTTTTCATTAGTGAAGCTCATCTCGACTACAACGTTTCCCATTGGCAGCACGGCCAAGAGAGTTGAGGGAGTGGTAAAACTGTGGAGCTGGGCTCTTGTAAAGGATATGTATCTTACTCATCTTTACTCACAATTAAGCTGCCTTTCCTGCAATTGAATTCAATAAAGCCAGTGGAATTAAGGCCACTTGAATAACAGTATTCATTCAGAGATTTAATGAAGTTTAACTCCTTTAGTATCCCGTTTAGTTAGCTGAGATTAATTTTCCCAAGTATTCCTGTGGAACAAGGCCCAGTACAAGCCAGTTTAAACAATGAGGTTGCAAACACTTCGTCATTAACTCAGCTGTATTTGAACCAGAGGATAAAATGAAAGTGAGTGATTGAGATCAGTAAGTGATTTAATGCACGGAACAAACCTCCAGGTGTAGTCAAGAAAGCTGCAATCATTCTAACTGACCCTGCCCACTCTTAGCTCATTTCCTCCTTAAACCCCCGTTTACAGTATCCCTTGTACACAAACTGCCGGCCACCGAAGAACACAGAGTTAACCCCAAGACAGCTGAAGTGTGCAGCGTCCCGCTAATTCTGACGACATGACCAGGATGGTTGTTTTCCTAAACACATTTTGACTTCCAAAGCAGGAGCTATTCCCTCCCAAAAACATTCACAAAAAGGGTTCTTACTCTCCAATATCTGCAGGTGTGCACACAAGGAAGAAGTGAGAGCTGGTTCTTTGGCAGATTCAAGGGATGATTTCATTTCATTACCTGGATAAGATGGTAAATCATGAAGGTTGCAATCCCAGCTCTTCTCCACTCGGGGTGCACCAAGAGAAAAGAGATGTAAGCTTCGTTGTACTTCACATCTGGCACCATAAAGCCAAAGGCAATGATAACTTTCTTGTAAAGGACAACAACACTGAAGTCTGGATACTGCAGGCACTCTGACAAATCAATTCCTAGGGAGAAAGAGAGAAACAGCAGTTGGAAGCACTGCAAACCAAAAGAAAAGTGTTGTTCAAATCCATGGGTTTAAGGCATTTTAGAAATCAATCCCTTCTTTTTACCTTCATTTCAAATTTGTGATATCAAGAGATCACAGCATCATAGAATAGTGCAAGGCCCCTGCTAGAGCAGTGCTCTGTTACTACACATTATGTGGATAAATTCCCCACATTTTGGGAAATCCCAGGGGTCAGGATACCCAGAGTGCAGGGGATGTGCCTGATCGTGGTGCCTCCCCTGCCAGGTAAGTATGCAAGGGAAAAGATGATACAACAAACAGACCGAACAAGACCTGCTCACAGGGAAGCTTGCGTGGAAATACTAACAAAGATGATTTCCTTTCAAATGACTCAAGGATGAAACTGAAACTTAACTCTCTTCAGAAGCAGCACACATGAAACCAGACTTCAGCTTTGGTAGCACAGCCTGCTATGGTTTCTGTCTTTTTCCTCCACCTTACAGCTCTTACTGCCGTCTCTTGCGCACTCAGCCGGTTGTGGAGCTGCACTGTGAGCCTGACCACAGCTCCCAATGCTATCAAAACACTTGCTTTTAGCATGCAAATTCTCTATCTGGGAGAGGAAGTAGCCTCTCAGGCAGTGGTGCTTCTGTGAGTCAGAGGCTGGACACAGAAACAGACTGGGAGTTTGTTACCTTGCCTAATCACCTGCTGCTGCAGTCCTAGAGCATCCACACAGCCTGGCAGCACCCAGCAGTGCAGCTCCAGGCACTGAAGACTGACTGCTTGATAATTTATGTGGACAGACCCAAAATGAGATGCAAGACACAGAGGAGATGTGCCAAAAACGTTTGCTTCAGCCTCAAGCTGGCAACTACAATGTATTTGGAACACGGGGTAACAAAATAGCAGAGTGTGTTTTCCAGTAATCACTCTTGATGAGATGCAAGACTTCAGAAGGCACCAGGCAGCAAGAAGTGGGTGAGTTATTTTCTTGCTGGAGAGTAAACTGGGTGGAGCAAGACGTGGGAGGGATCGATTGGCAAATTGGAGCTGTGTTAATAAAAGCAAGGCTGCCGCTGCCTGTGGAGTGCCTTGCAGCTTGTCTGGACAGAACACTCTCTGCCCCGGGCGCTGGCGTCTCTGCAGGAGTGCAGTTTTTCCTGTAGGAAGATGCTTAGCTCAGGATGGTTCACCACTGGAGACACTCCCCGCTAGGGAGAGGTTTCCCGTTAGGGCACCAAGGCACTCTGTGAGAAACAACACCCGGGAATCTCTCTATCTGGAAACCTAGTTCTGCCTTGGGAGAGACAAGAACAGCTCTGAAAGGAAGGATCTGGAGGCACAGAAGAACTAAGTGCTGGCTTAATGATGCTCACCCAGCGCATATCCCTGCCTCCCACCCCCAGGCTGTACCAGCTAAACCCTCTGTAGCCAGGCTTTATGTCCTGCATCAATTCCTCACTTCCCTCTCCTGCTAAACAGAACCAAGGTGCAAGAATCATATCCCAGCATCAGAATTTTTTCACCATGGAAAAGATTTGGATTCCTGTTTGGAGACTGATGGAGGTGTCAGCTTTCTAATTTAATAAGGAACAGTTCACAGTTGGGTGGAACACACCCATGCTCCCTATGTTAAATAAAACAGGGTGAGTCCTGCAGAACTTAATGAATGTGCAACCCAACTTGGCCAGAACTTCAAATGCATTATCAGGAGAGGAGAGACTATGACAAAGTGGTTCAGCCTCTGCTGGGATTGCAAGCGTCTCTCACAAGCTCTCAAACAGCTTGTGAAAGGAAAGGCGTGCCAGGTTATTTCCCCCCACACTGTGCAATTTGCATAATGAGCAGCAAAAAGAGCTCCCATCCTGACTGCTGCGGCATGTGGCACTGCTGAACTACAACCCTGCTGAATCACCATCGGCAAATCAAAACACAAAGCCAACAGTTACCAGGAATAAAGGTGTGTACTGTTTGCACTGGCCTTTTCTAAATTAGTCTGCTGCGTTGTTTGCTGATCAGAGGCTGATGCATGCAGCAGATGAACTCTATTATTATTATTTCAGAGGAACTAAAGAGTGCAGCCTCATAACCACACCCCGAAAGCACGGCCATTGTCCCCAAAGAACCTGCAGTTCCAGAAAGGACACAGAAAAATACAAACCTAATCTTTCCCATACCTTGTAAATACTGAGGCCGGAAGAAATAAAGGACATCACAGCGGAGCCTACAGTTGTAAAAGCAATTCACTGAATCACAGAATAAGCTGAGTTGGAAGGGACCCTCAAGGACCATCGAGTCCAAGTCCTGGCCCTGCACAGGACAACTGCAAGAATCGCACCATGTGCCTGAGAGTGTTGTCCAGACTCCTCTGGGGCAGGCCTGGAGCTGTGACCACTGCCCTGGGAAGTCTGTTCCAGTGCCCAGCCACCCTCTGGGTGAAGAACCTTTTCCTAATCCCCAAACTAAACTTCCCTTAACACAGCTTCAGTGCCATTCTATGGGGTCCTGTAGTCACAGAGAAGAGATCTGTGCCTGCCCCTCTGCCTCCCCTCCTGAGGCAGCTGCAGCCCATGATGGTGTCTCCCCTCAGTCTCCTCCTCTCCAGGCCGAACAGACCGAGCAACCTCAGCCACTCCTCATATACTTTCCAACCTTCACTCTGACATATGCAGCTTATGGCTGCTAGGAAGAAACCTTCTCACAAAGGTAATGAACAGTAATCTCTGGTATAAAACTGTTTATTTCAACCCCTGATTCTTGCAAGACATTTCACTGGATGCTTAAATTTAGTCAACTACTAATCTACCTACTACTCCTATTAGCACCTATTTTTCTAAGTGCTGTGCTAATTAGGGCCTAATTGCCCAGTTTTATGCGATCTCAAAAGACAAAGACACCAAACCCACGCCTCCACCTCAAATACATTCCTGTAACATCAGATAATGGGTTTCTAAGAACCAGCCAAAAACCAACTGAAATAAAATTTGGCCCAAGAACGTTTTTTTTTCTCTGAACAATACCACTTCTTTCTTGGAAACCCAAGCACTAGAAGAATCTTACCAGGCCAGAAGAATTCGTGGCACATGGAGTTTATAGTGGGGATGTGATTAGGGCGAACATAGCAGTAATCAATGGGTGCTTCTGGCTCAGCCTTCCAGTTGAGATCATTCCTGTGTGGATTCGCCCGGATTTCTGCCAGCAGCCTGAGTTTTGGAGGCTTTGTCTCATAATCACGTCTGCCAGGAACGTGAAAAGGAAACACAAAAAGCAAGTGAGCAACAAGAACTGCCACAGCAGCTAAATGGGTACTGCCCATGAAATATCTTCTGACATGCTCAAATTTAGGAAAATAAAGAACAGTCTTGCATTCACAAGGGGAAACAGCCCCCAGCTCAGCAAAAAACACCCTTGGTGCCAGAGGCCAGGACACTTTCCAGACCCACAGCATGTCCAGCCAGTCTTTCCTTACATCATGAGCAAGGAAATCACAGCTCTGACCCAAGAGCAGGTGCAACTTGCATTGAATGGCTACAGCAATGCCCTCTCTGCCCTTGCCCCCTCTTGGAGATTCCCCTTCCCAATGCAATCCGTTTCACTACTCAGCTAAATCAAACACTATCCCTTCAGGGTTACCATGGTGCACTGGGTTGTACTTTGAGGAGGAGTGAGGAGCACTGCCCAAGAAAGGTGTCCTCTCCGTGGGCTGGCGGTGCACAAGCCAAGAGCAAGCTCAGACCCTCTGTACCTGATGTAAGGTTTAAGGACACGGGAGGTGTAAGGGCTGACAATACTGTGGTCTGTCAGCAGGTCTTCCGAGCCTACCAGGCGGTACAGAAACTTGGTTGTCTGCTGGCGGTATCCCTTCGTGGCAGGCAGCATCGTCTGCACGCACAAAAAAATGCAAAACAATTGCAGGAAGGTCAGACAGAGATTTAACAAGGGAATTGTATGGAGGGAGAGTAAGGGCCTCTCAGTGTGACAGGGTGGACTGGACCACGGAGGTCCCACCTCTGGACTCTGCTGAGCACTCCCAAATTTGGTGCCCAAACCTAGAAGTACTGCAAGTTATCTCCCTCCTACACACATGAAAGAGCACCCACCTGTCTGGGTACTTCCAGGCCTCCACCATCAGCATTTGGGCAGGGCTGGAGTACAAACACAGTGACATTTGTGGTGCTGACACTGACAGACAGCAGTGCTGAACCAGCATGTCCCAAGAAAAAAGGGACTTAGGAGAGGATTGGTGGGGACACAGTCTCAAGCCAAAATGAGTGTTGTTCACATGATCCTTTTCACTTTAGGAGCCAGAAAACCTCAGTGAGGCACTGCTGGCTGCAGCAAAAGCTTTAAAATAACTAGTGCCAAAAGCTAACTTAGATTTGGGAACACCCACCTGGTATCTGTCCAAGATCCTGAAGTCCTGGCTAGTAGTTCTGTATGTTGCTTGCCCTACTGGGGACCTGGAGACACCACCTTCTTTGGCTCCATAAATCCCATCAACCAGGAGCAGTGCAGCATTCACAACCTGGTCCAAGTCAAAGAGCGGCAGTCCTCTCTCCCTCTTGGCCTGCCTGACCAGCAGCTTGCGCCTCAGCCTCCGGGCCTCTGGGGTCATGCTCAAAGCATTGGGACAGGCTTCCAGCCTCTTCAGCAGCAGCTTTTCCTCATAGATGCTAACTGAGGTGTGCTTGGCAACTCTGGGTTTAGCATCCTTCTCCAGCTGTGACTTCCCCTTGTCTCGTCCCCTCACCTGCAGGGGTGTGTTTGACTCTTCAGGATCTTCACTGTCACCTTCCATCCGTTCTGTTTTTTCTTCTTCACTCTCCACCTCTTGCTTGATCTGCTCAGCTGTCTTCACTTTTTTCCTGCTTGCTATCATGGTGCCAGCACCAGCTGTCCCACTGGGAGGGGGCACATACTCTATTCCTGGGTCTATGACTCCATCTCCTTCCATCTCCTCATCATCTGTGGAACAGATCAAAATAATTTGGGGGAAAGAAAAAATAATTTAAACATCAAGTCCTGTTTCAAAAATGGCTGTCACAGCATTTTCCTGCTAAGGAACAATAATGTGGGTTTACTCAACACACTTCATTTTCTGTGTACTGCCAGATCTCCTGATTTTGGATGGGAGATGCTGAAAAGAGTCCAATTTCAGGACAGAGAATCAATCCTGCTCCTAAAGTGTCTGGCAGTTTGGCATCTGGAAACACTGCCCCTCCTGAGCTGCAAGCACATGTTCTTTGAGGAACATTAAGCTGCTGAAAATTCGCAAAGGCTGGGAAATCAAAAAGTCAGGCTGGTGAGCTGTATCTTCAGCTAGCATACCCTCACTATTCTTCCTGTCACCCAGAAGACTGGCTCCTTAAGGAACTAAGAGAATTCAGCCTGCATCACTGCTCTGCAATCTCACTGAAATTTAGCATCCATTAATCAGCACAATCAAACTTACAAAATAATGGGATATTACCATGGGAATAAAATTTCTCCCATGAAAAACATTTGAGACAAAACTAGACTTTCTACATAACAGTGTTATCTGTGTTGCAGTGAAATGCTTATGCTGAGTGGTCCAGCAGTTGCTGTGTGAAGCCTACCCACTGTTTATTCAGGATCTCTCAGAAAACAACACTGGGGGTTTCTTCTGGCCTTAGAAGCTGGTGAGAAAACTATGGAAAACCAGACAATTCTCACACTCAACTGAGACAACAGAATATCAACAGTTACTTTCCTTCTTATCCTGAAACAATCCTGAACCTCACTGGGAGCTTATATTTTACAATATATTCCTAGAAAACTGCACACAGTTCATCACTAATGGAAACCCATGGTGGCTCTTACCATGGAAGAGCGCCTGTGGCGGCATGACATCCGGGATGAGATCCGCTTCCGAGAGCAGGCTGGGAGTGGCCGAGTGCGAGGCGGGAGTGCCGGGAGCAGAGAAGTCCAGGGACGGGGACGGAGAGGGGCTGGTCAGAGGCGTGCGGTCGGACGAGCTCAGGGAGGAGAAGTCGATGACCTCTCCTTTCTCCAGGACGATGTCGGGCCGGCGGCAGCGGCTGCTGAACTTCACGGGAGTGGAGGAAGTGCTGCGGTCCAGGAACCCGGCCGCCTCCTTCTGGGCTCTCCGAATGTCCTTGGCTTCCTGAGTGCGGGACCTCTTCTCCTTCAGCTCCATGGCTGACTCCACTGGATTGCGGCTCACCCGCTTCCGAAGGCCTTCCACGGTAATGATGGGATCCAGCGGGGGCTTGGAAGCTGCTAAAGGAGGAGTTTGCTTATTCTGAGCTCCTGCAGTCACTGGATTCACACTGTGCAGTCAAAACCACACTGACTACAGAGCCTAAAAGACGGGGTTTTCAATGTGACCAAGAAATTCACTCTGGGACAAGCAGCATTAAGCCAGGGTATGACTAAAGCCTCGTTAAAGCCCAAATTTTGTTCCTCCACACAGAGGAGAATTTGCGTCTAGTGACAAAAGATAAAAGACATTCCCCAGGGTAAAGGGAAGTGGGAAAATTGTGGATTTCAGCTAAAAAAAAACCCAGCAAAAACCACTCTGCACAAGCCTCAAAACCCTGTAAGTCAGCACAATGGAAAAAGGTAATAAAATATAACAGGCTTCTCACACCACAGCATACGCACCATAGTGCTCTTCAGTCAACCATTACAGCAGAACAAAACTAAGGAACTGTCCATGCACACAAATTGGTTTTAACTGAACTCTTCTCACGTGTCCCAGCTCTGGCCCAGTGAGGAATCTACACACTACTGGGGACAGTTACCTTTTGCCTTCAGAGCAGATGCTGACAGCTTCTCTCCTTCAGGTTTCAGTGTTGGGGGTTTGTTATGAACCAGCTTCCACCATCCCGGTTCTCCAAATTCCTGTGCCCCTGAGCGGAAAAACAAGGGGCTCCCCACAGACAGACAGCCAGCAACTGTGCTCCACCATGTTGAGGTCTTTTTCCTGTGGTGGGAGAGAGGAAAACAAGGGTTAGGTGCCCACTACCAGCTGTGCTTCCATCCTGGACAGTGTGTTTCTGCCAGAGTCACTGACACACAATCACTGAACTACTCCTGAAGCACTTTTTTGGCCCCTTGGAGACAGGGAGCTGCATTTAAGCCTTTCCCTCTGCTGGGCAGTGCACGCTTACTGGGCATCTGAGCATTTTGTTCCTTTAGGAGCTGGGGACAAGGCTAACTAAGATGTCACTTAGGGAAGAGGTGAGAAGAAATACTGAAGAACTGCCCTTTTAACCAGTAACTGAGGTACTCCCTAGGACTCTGGAGAGTCAGGTTCATGGAACAGAGTTTAACCTCAGTTGCCCAGAATCTCAGGATTGCTTCTTGCCTTTGCACACCCCCACATGCAGAAACTTCTGTACTTGCCAAGGCTTGGCTGAGTTGGTGCTCACTGCTGCCCAGGCTTACACACCTTGAGGTACTGAACCTCAGAGACAGGAAATCAAACCCAGCTGCTGCAGCTCAAAGTCTGGGGTGTTACAGTAAATCTGGGTAAGCTGCACTTCAATATGCCAAGGAAGATCTCTGCACGATTTGTACTGCTACACACACGATTCAGCTGTCTCTGTTCCTTCAGTGGCTTGTCCAGGCAAGCGGGAAGGCTGTGTCTGAGGCCAGGAATCACTCTCTGAATTTTAATCAGAGCAAGGAGTGCCCAGTTCCCAGGGCAAGTCTCAAAAGGCAACATCAAACCCTGGGAGGCATTGATTCCCTGAATGAGGGACAATGGGCCACCAGCTGCCCTCCTGTCAGGGTCCCTGTGGCTTCCAGAGAGGACAAATGCTAACATTTCTGAGAACAGAGCAAGGAGGCACAGACAAGCACTGAAAGCAAAGCCAGAAACCAAATCTGGTTAGGAAGAAAGGCCAGATCTTATGACAGAGGAAATCCCTGGAGAAGAAAAGAAGCTGTGAAGTCAATCAAATCTACAACTTCCAAGGATTGCTCAGTTCCTTCCCTGCCTCCACAGCACAATCATTAACAGTGAGGCTTGGGTTTGAGAGCTTCAGCACGCTCAGAAGAAATGTGCAGTTCACCTGGAAAATAAAGGCTGCCCTCTATGAGAGGGGCTCCTACTCTGACAGTGTGAAAAACGTTTCAGTTGTTTAACACCTACGGTGTAAGAGCCATTTCATTAAGATCTGAAACAATCTAAAAGGTGAGGCTCAGTTCTTCTAGAACTTGGTCCTTTGGCAAGCTTTATAGCCAAGGAACTTTGCTGGATCACATTTCTGTCCCTAAAGTTGGGCAGTACCAGGATCAACCCATTGTGACTGTTTAGAAAAACTCAATTGTTTGCAGGTTCATATGCTGCCTAAAGGAAGATAAGAAATAATCCAAAATACAAGCATTTTTATTGCTTTTCTGTGACATTGCTGGGGTTCTTTTTTCCCCCAGTAAGAAATACTTATTCTTTCTCAAGTGCACCCTCCATGCCTGCATTCAGATTCTCAATATTAAATCCTCCCTTTTTATCGCTTGTAAGGCTCAACAGAGATGTCAACAAATTAACCAGGATTCTTGTCCATCTGTATAACAGGTTTTAATTCCTTTGGCACACCACCCAGACCCTCAGGGAAATATCATGTCTTTACCTGTTCCCTAATAAGAAAGTCCAGTGTTTTTCAATAAAAGCACAAATGTCTTCTTTCCATCTGAAGTAGCCCTGACGGCCCGTTCCTTCCAGAGACAAGTTGTACATTGCCAACATGACAACCTGGAACAGAAAGTGTTGGACACAAGTGAATCCCTTCTGCTTTTTCTGCTGAACAGACCCCCACAGCTGCCACACACACACAGATCCTTGCTCCCTCATAAATATCTTGTTTTTGCAACATCTCATAGGCAGCTTCTGCAATCCATCTTCTTCCTGGTTTTGTGCTGCCTGTCCTTGTCTTTCTATTGTTAGATGCACATCCTTCCAGACATTTCTCCATCCCAGGGGAATAACAAGCTGCCTAGTTATGCAGGTTTGTGCTGAGAACAAGAATTGTCCAGCTGTTGTATAAATGAATTACAGTACAGCTGAGGTCTGAATGTAATGTGGAGGTAGGGAAACAGTCTTTCAAATAAATTAAAAAAAAAAAGTCACAAGTAATCCTGCTATCCAATACATCATAAACACTGTGACAATGGTCTTGCACACACTTCACAACCAAATTCACTCTAACTTGTTACATACCCAAACTAAAGGGCACCTTTGAAAAATATCTCACCCCCTTCAAGTAAATCCTAGGTGACCAACTGTTAATTACATTTACTTCATTAATATCAATTAATTTATTAGAACAGAACTAAAGTCAGCTGGGCTGGGATCATCTTTCAACAATCACACAGTCTTGGTTTGGCACTACTTCCAATAACAACTTGCATTTCACCCTCAGAGAAGTCTGAAATCTGCTTTTCTCAGGGAGATGGATCTCCTCACAGTGGACCTTGGCTTCCTGGCATGCATTGTCAAAGATGTCATAATGAGGAAACATGAACAGCTTTAATGTCCCCTTCACCCTATTTCTACCTCACAACACCTCTCAGTTTGATCACTAGGATTTTGTGGGTTTTAAAGTCACGTGGGACAACGTCTCAGGATGTCAAAAATAATTCTCTTGTCAAATGGCTAAAGATACGGATCCGTTGAGGCTACATACTCTGAAAAAAAAAATCCAGAAATCACTGTCCCTATTCTTCCTGCTTCAGGTAAGTTAGTTTGGCCATTTCTCTCAATTCTACTCACCCAGAAGCAGCAGCAGCTCTGGCTGCTGGAAGCCCAGGGAGGTGGTCACAGCTTTCTTCCTCACCCATTTTCATTTTGTCTGCCCCTTCCCCATGGCACTCTGAAGAGACCTGGGCAATGTCAGCAGCCTTTGCTTTCCCAGTCTGGAACCTGGTGAAACTCTGCCAGTCTGCCAGCACAGACCCCTGCCTAAACCAACCTTTTTCTCTGCACTGGCCACCAGAGAAAGCAGTGCAGGAGTTACAGTCAGTGTTTCAAATTACCTTACATGACAATAAGGCTGAGTGGCCATGGGTAAGAATCAAGGAAAAGCCAACAAGGCTGGTATTTTCAACAGTCTCACAGCTTGTCCTCAGGACAAGTGGCCTCCTGAGCTGGAAGATGGGGACAGGGAGCAGAATAATAATCCTGTTATTCAGCAGGAAGCAGTTGGTGACCCTCTGAGCCTCTTAGATGCTCACAAGTCTATGGGACCAGATGGGATCCATCCTAGGGTGCTGAGGGAGCTGGCAGAAGAGCTCACCAAGCTGCTCTCCATCATTTACCACCAGTCCTGGCTCACCAGGGGGGTACCTGATGGCAGAAGGTTGGCCAGTGTGACAGCCATCCATAAGAAGGACTGGAAGGAGGACCCAGGGAGCTCCAGGCCTGTCAGCCTGACCTCAGTGCCTGGCAAGGTTATGGAACAGATCATCTTGAGTGCCATCATTTGGCACCTACAGCAGGGATTCAGGAGGGGCAGGTCCTGCCTGACCTCCTTTTATGACCAGGTGACCTGCCTGGTGGATGCAGGGAAAGCTGTGGATTTTGTCTACCTGGACTTTGACACCATCTACAGGGGCCTGGACAGGCTGGATCCATGGCCAAATCCAACACTAGGAGGTTTTACAAGAGCAGGAGCTGAGTCCTGCACTTTGGCCACAACAACCCCTGCAGCACTACAGGCTGGGGACAGAGCAGCTGGAGAGAGGCCAGGCAGAAAGGGACCTGGGGATACTGGCTGCTGGCAGCCTGAACACGAGCAAGCAGTGTGCCCAGGTGGCCAAGAAGGCCAATGGCATCCTGGCTTGGATCAGGAATAGTGGCCAGCAGGAGCAGGGCAGTGATTCCTCCCCTGTACTTGGCACTGGTGAGGCTCCACCTCAAGCCTTGTGTCCAGTTCTGGGCCCTTCAATTTAGGAAGGACGTTGAGGTGCTGTGGCACATCCAAGAAGGGCAATAAGGCTGTGAAGGATCTGGAGTGCAGATCCTATGAGGAACAGCTGAGAGAGCTGGGGATGTTTAGGCTGGAGAGGAGGAGGCTCAGAAGAGACCTTATCACTCTCAACAACTCCCTGACAGGAGGGTGCAGCCAGGTGGGGGCTCAGCTCCTCCCCCAGGCAACAAGAGACAGGATGAGAGGACACATCTTCAGCTGCACCAGGGTAGGTTTAGGCTGGACATCAGGAAGAATTTCTTCACAGAAAGAGTGAGTGGGCATTGAGATGGGCTGCCCAGGAGCTGGTGGACTCACCATCCCTGGAGGTGTTTAAGGAAACCCTGAATGGTGCACTCAGTACCATGGTCTGGTTGACAAGGTGGTGTTAGGTCATGGGTTGGATTTGATGATCTCAAAGGTCTTTTCCATCCCAGCTGATCCTGTGTGTGAAACTACACACCATTACAGGCCCAAAGGATGCAAACAGATGTTATTTTGATTGCTCAGGTGTGCAAATGACTGGAACAGTGAAATCCAGCAAGGACTGATGCTAGTGCATAAGCAGCCAGGGTGGAGCTTTGTACCGGGAGCTGGCAAGCTTTCTGTTTCTATGCTGCCACCTCACCAGTTTTACATTTCATAGACACAAAAAACTGTTCATGCCTAGAAGCCAAATTGCATATATTTTGCTTTTCCAAACTTGCTTGAAGCCATGAATTCATGAGCAATATGAGGGGAAGGAAAAAAAAAAAAAAAAAAAGAAAAGGAATGTGGTTTGTATGATTATCTTTCAATTTCCCTGCCAAATGCTGAAGTTCTCATGTGCAGGCAATCCTCAGCTAATTAATTTCTGAAGTTCATGCAAATGCTCCTGTTACCAATACCTGATCCTCCTTTCCCAGGTAGCATGTACACAGCAACCAACAATTTCACGAAGTCCCACGGCTGTTCTGCTGTCACAAACATTTCACTTACTTGTTGCCATGTTAATCTCAGACGTTCAAATTGCTCCTTCCCATCTTCTGAGCAATCAGAGCAAGTAAATCTGAAAAAGTTATCTCCTTTGAGGTAGCTGAGCTGTTCTCTCAGTTGACCTAAAATGAAAAGGTCAAAGTCAATCTTTTTGCCCTTTTAGAGGAAAAAGTGCTGCAAAGGAAATTTGGATTTCTTCCAAGATCAGGTTTGTCTGAACAAAAATCACAGAACCACCTGTAAACCCCCATGCACCCAAAGTTACAGGCTCTAATTCCGTGTTTGTAAAGCAGAGGAAAAAAAATCACACGATTCAGGGCAATTTACACAAACATGAACAAATGAAAAATGGCATCGGAGGACAGGGAAACAATGTCAAGACTAGAGTGTTTCTGGAAAGTCACACTCAAAAGATGTTTCTCTACAAGGATGTCATCTCTTTTACTGTATAATTTTATAATTTTTAACATATGGGTACCCTGCTTCCATACTGAATTGCAATTCAAGTTGCAGCTGCATCTGATGGGGGGAAAACCCCTCGCACTTGGTAAACTGAGAATTTCTAAGTGGCAACTCAATGTAAAAAAGTGATTATTTGCCTGAGCAGGTTGGCCCTTTTCACATGAGACAACTGAACCCCCTTGAAATGAATGATCAGGAAAAAGCACAGTATCTCCCTTTGGCAGCTCGTTTACTCGGCACAATTGTATGTAGCTACCGTTGCTTTGCAACTGGCCTTTTCTGCTCCTTGGATTTGTTCCACAGCAACTGCAGAGAGGAACATATTTGTAAAATAAAACAAGTTGAGTGTTAAATCAAGTGCTCTATATGAGATAGCTCAAGCTACCTTTAACTGCTTCATTTTTTTTATTAATACATTTCAAGTTAATGTTTCCCTTTACTGCATAGTAATTTAATAGTCTGGTGCTGGTTTCATTACATTAACACCTAAACATTCACTCACACGCCTTGAGAGGAGATTTTTACACTATAAATTTTGGCAAATCCTTTGAAGACAAAAAGGGCAGCTCTGACATATCTGCAAGGCAGGTGCCACCTAAACAGTTCCTTATTTCTAACCACAAACAAACAAACCCCACAAAACCCCCAAATCAAATCAAATAAAAAAAAACCTCCACCAAAACCAAAGCCAAGGTGTTCAGCAATATCTGGCTCTTGAATGTAGTAACAGATCAGATAACCCAGAATTTAGGATGTAAAGGTGTCTATTACACTGCTAACAGCATATGTCTTATGTCAAGTGCCAGAGGAGGGGCACCAAATTCTGCAGCTTGCTCCTAACACCCCCCCAGAGCTGGCTGCTGAAGGCTGGGCATGTTTCTAAGCAAACTTAAATTCAATTATTGGGAAAACATAAAGGTTGAGATTTAGCCACATGCTCCACAGATGTGACAAATCACCAGGGAGGGGGAAAAAAAAGTAACACGCAAAGTCCTTTTCCTCCCCAGAGCTTTACAGCAAGGGTCATTATCTGAGTGAGCAGAGAGGTCAGGTCGCTTGGCCCAAGCCCCTAAACAGCTGCAAGAATTGTGAGGGTGGGCACGTTTCTGAACTTTGATGTTCTCCATTAACTGAAGAAGAGTTTCACTTCCTCAGGAGAGCAGCAGCTCTGGGCACACACAGCTCCTGGACTGAAGTGCCTAACACAGCCCCTGCCAGCAGGCATCACCCACCAAGGCAGGACGGGGAGCAGCCCAACAAGCCGTGAAAGAGGAAGGCAGGACAGCACAAACACCTTGCAAACACCCACCACGGCCAGCACAACACAGCCTTACTTGCTGGGATCCACTTCTGGCACTTCTCACAGTAATAGGACATCTCCTCCATCCAGGACGCTTCACCCTCGTCGCTGTTCAGGGAGTCCCCGCTCTGGTCGTGCGATAAATCCACGGAAGCCTGGTCCTCGGACTCCACGATCAGGAGAGTCTCCCCTTCCACCTCGCCCTCCTCCAGGCCCTCGGAGGTGGAGGTCCTGGTGGCTTCATCATCATGGCGGCTGAGCAGCCCACTCATGTGAACGTTGTTGGCCATCCTAGAGGGAGAGGGAGCCTGCCCAACAATGAGCTGCTCCTGCCCAGTTTCAGACGTGGGCCAAGCCTCCGCAGTCCACGTACCAATCACAGATTAAATGGGCCTTTGTCTGCCCTAAAGCTGCAGAGGCTGGATTATAATTTATACAAAATAACCAGTCTTTCACAGATTTGTTAAAACACCTGCAAGAAGTGAGATGCAAACGACCTTCAAACGTCTTTAATCAAACCTCTAAGGAGCCAGGCTTGTGCCTAGGACTGCTGGGAACGTTTTTCCATTAGCGCCTTGTCTCTCTCTTCAGTGAGCTGCTTTGTCAGAGCAATCTGCTCTTCTAACAGGCGAATGTTCTCCTTTTTCTGCTTCTGACGCTCAAGATCTCTGACAACGCCACTTCGCAGCCTCTGAAAACACAAAGGACAGGGTTTATCACAGCCCGGGGGATGCTGATCCGGACCAACCCCACCCAGGCTCCACCCCTCCCGCAAGGCTGTTCCCTCTGCTGCTCTTGCAGGGTCTTCCCACAGCGACTTACCGTAGTTGGAACCTTCAGGAGCCAATCTCCAGAATCACTACACCAAAAAGTGCTTTATTTGCGCTCACTTCAGAGGTTGGGTTTGCTAAGTGACAAAGCTATGAGGAAATTAATGCTCGGAGCCTGTAATTCCCATGCCATGCAGGAGGGATGTGATCTGAAAAATCCTGTCATCTCACACCTAAATCTTTACGAAATCAGAATGAGCTCCTCAAAACTTCTCTACTTGGAGGCAATTTTGTCACAAATTGGAAACTATTTTAACATAAATTGGCGTGTGTCTTCACTTGCTTCTTTCTGCTCATGTCTTAATCTTAAAAAAACACCCACAGCCTGCTTATGCCAAACTCCTGAAAAAGCAAGGCACTTGCTTCACAAATACCCCCTTCACCTCAAATATTCGTTATAAATCATGTAAATATATAACACATATATACATAAATACATAACGTGCAACACAACATCAGCAGCTTTCAGCCTGGGGTGCAACCCCTCAAGGGGTGTAAAAAGCCCTAAGAAAATCCCAGCTGCTTCTTCCATATGCTTCTCTCTCTTACCTAGACATTTCTACTCACATTGATACTTTGATAATTAGGTGAAAGATCAGTAATTTTCGACCCATTTGAATGATGCCAAAATGCACCTGCAAATAATTTATTTGAAAGCTCACCCTGAAGTCGCTTGAGAGGATGTCTGTGACTATTATTCAACAAGTTATCGCAGGGTTTAATTCCTCACCTATCATGCCAATGACTGCACACTTCAAATGCAATCATTTCTCCTGTCAAGATCAAAACAGAAAGATTTTGTTTAAGAAATAATTTTATCTTGTTAAGAAAATGCACAGCCGCATGTGTCTGCCAATAATCAAAACTCTCCAGAAATTAATCTAATGAAACCAGTTCCTTCCCACCATCTTCCATCAACTGAACTCAGGCTATGAATTACTGCAATTACTGATTACTACAAATCAGTCATTTGAAACTGAACACAAAGTTCATAAAGTTATTATTACATTACTATTAGTTAATAAAAAGATGTGAGGAGATACAAGGTAACTGATCAACTGCACCAAGAATGTAACCCTTTTTCCTTCACAAAACACTGCAATCTTTCAGATGGTGGATGTATTCACTTTGAAAATGTACATTTTGCAAAAGACACCTTTAGAATTTGAGTGTCACAAGTGAAAAAGACCTGAAATGAAGTTAACCTTCTCATCTTCCTCTATTCTTGGAAGTTCGCCCTGCTTGCCTTCTGCAGGCATGAAAAGCATGTGCAAGCTCAAAGCACTCTGGGCCTGGCACATCAATTTATAAAGGTCAAACGTTTATTAATTTGCATGAAGATAAACTAGAAATAATCTCTATGCCAGGACTGTAAAATATCCACATTATTTATTCCCATTATGTTATCTAGATAACTGGCTCTGTAGAACATGAAGCCACTACTGCTTGCCTTGGCCATGAAGAATTATAAAAAGAAAAATCTCAGATTTAATTTACAAAACAAGCTTTGAGCCTTGGACCTTCTGAGTAGGTATTAGCCTAGAATAGGATTTGGGTCAAAAGATCCACGCAGTTTAGGTGTCCCACTGAAACACCCAAGGGTGATGTTTATTCTGCAGCACATGTTCAAAGTACAACTGCCATTAATTGCAGCTGCAGTTTAGTTTAGGAGCATTTAGCAGCTATTCCTGCCAGATCCTCAGTGCCTCACGGCAGGCACACTGAATCAGAGAGCAGCCAGCTACAAAAATGTGATGTGATCTACCTAGAATATGTTAGGTGATCTACCCATCAGCTCTGGCAAGTGCAGAGCCATTGCTGGTTGCCACACCAGGATCCCAGCGATCCTTGCCTGCGCCATTCAGTGTTCTCCAACTCCTGCTCACACAAACCTGCCTCTTTCCTTACCCAGACCAGTCTCATCCTCCAAATTCCATCCCTCTCAAGCACTGACAGAGACCATTTCTTGAGGGGAAGAAAATTTAATCCTCTAATTGCAGAATGTATCACAAAGCCCAAGCAACAGCCAGCTGAGCTGGGCTATGGATTGGGAAGTTGAACTCTTGTATTCTGTAACTTCTGACTGCCTCAGTGCCATTTAACACAGGCTGTTTCTGTATGCAGTTTCTAGATTTTTTTGTATGTAAGTGGAGAAGGATCAGACGTGTGCCCTCATATAACCCTGGGCTCATCAGCAGGGTCCAAACCAGCACACTCCCTGCTCACACAGCACAGCTTTACACAACCTTTACACACAGCTTTTAGTCCCAGGCAGGACTGCTCTGCTCTAGGACTCACCATGGTCATACCTGACACCTTTTGGCTGTGGGCTCCCTGGCACACAGGCTGCTTGCCAGGAATTCCCTGATTTTTGTAAATATAGCACAGAGAACCTCCACCGGGCCTCGCCTGGAGCTCCCCGCTGCTATTTTCCCCTCAAGGGAAACGCACAGGACAGCATTAGGGAGCTGGTGCAGCTAAAAGAGCATGGAAAGCACAGGGGCCAAGGCAGGAAAACACAGGGAAGAGGGAAAAGGTGGCTTGTGGAAAGAGCACCATTGGGCGCAGTGGGCAGGGTCTCTGGGAGCCAGGCTGGGCACACACAGTGCCCGCAGCGCCAGTGCTGGGGCACGGAGTAGGTGCGTGCAGGGACAAGGAGCGGATGGATGGATGGATGGATGGATGGATGGATGGATGGATGGATGGATGGATGGATGGATGGATGGATGGATGGATGGATGGATGGATGGATGGATGGATGGATGGATGGATGGATGGATGGATGGATGGATGGATGGATGGATGGATGGATGGATGGATGGATGGATGGATGGATGGATGGACGGATGGACGGATGGATGGATGGATGGACGGATGGACGGATGGATGGAGCAGTGGGCTCAGGTGCGGGTCCGCAGCGCGGGCGGGGCGGGGCTTAGAGGTGGGCGGAGCTTTTCCCAGTGGGCGTGGCTCCGCGCTGAGCTCGCAGGTGGGGGCGGGGCGTGTCGGCCGCCAGGTGAGGGGCGTGGCCTGAGTGCGGGGGCGGGGCCTGCCCGGCCGGGGGGCGGGGCCGCACTGAGGGCCGGGGCAGGGCCCCGCTCGCCTCCTCCCCCCCGCGGCCCGCGGCGCGCACTCACCTCCAGCTCCCGGCGCTGCTGGATGTGCACGGCCGCCACGATGGCGGCGGAGAGCAGCGCGGAGACGGCCAGCGCCAGGCGGGAGCCCCGCGACATGGCCGGCGGGGCGGCGCGGGGCCGCGGCGGCGGAAGCGGCGGGCGGGCGGGGGTGCGGGAGAGCGTGAGGCGGCGCGCCCCGCCCCCGGCCGAGCGCCGAGCGCAGCGAGCCAGGCCCGAGCAGCCGAGCGCCGATGCGGGGCGGGGCGGGGAGGCGGGAGCGGCTCCCGGGAGATGCCGCCCCGGGAGCCGGGGCTCGCACGGTGCTGGCCAGAAATTCTGCCTTGGGGCGCTAAAATCTGGCCTTTGTTCCCTCAGCGCCGCTGGGGATTGGGTGCCCAGCTGTGCCCGTGTCTCCTGGGGCTGTTCCCTGGAGCTTCCTGCCGGAGATCGCGAACAAAAGGAGGTTTGTGCTGCGTGCATTGCTGGTTTTGTGGAGTGAAGACCACCAGTTCTGCGCTCTCCTCGCCCAGAAATCCCGAATTGCATGGCAGAAGCAGCTGGAGAAAGCTGCTCTTCAATTGTTTGGTTTCTTCTCATTGTTCAGTGTGTGGCCTTAAGGCCTCCTGTTTGCCAGTTTTTTTGTGCTCTGAAGACAGAATTATTCCATCCCCAGCCCTGTCTGCAGCGGAAAAGGGAAACCAAACACACGTCAGGCTGATCCCTCCTCATTATAATCTTTGTCATCTCTCTGCTGAATGAACGCGATTAAAATGAGAGGTGAAATCAGTGGGGATGCTAATATTCCAGTCGGGTCTGCTGGCAGTGCTCACCTTGGTGTGTTTTACTCTCCTTAGGGTTTGTGCATAAATGCTTGTAAGGGGTCCAAGGCCACTGGAGTGCCAAGAACGGGGTCGAGCCGGGAGCCGGGAGCACCCTCGGCACTGGGGAAGGGTGCATCTCCCCGAGTGCCTCCACCCGACCCCGTCATTAATCCCTGGCGGGGCTAAAATCCCCGGGGAGCAGGGAGCGTTCAGGCTGCGCTTTCACAATCCCGGTTTCTGCCCTCTGGTTCTGGTGTTCCTGCTCCTCCCGTTCTCCCAAGGGCTGCGCCTTGCTCAAGGGCTCAGCTCCCCTGCCCTGCCCCTGCTCTCCTGCTCTGGCCCCTCTCCGTGCTCTGGGGTGAGAGGGGACCTTTCCCAAGCCCACATTAGCCGCTGGTCTGGTTTAAAAGCCCGTTTTCCTTTCTCGGAGCCCGGCTGCAGGGGCAGGGAAGGGGTGTGATGGAGGTGGGAAGGGCAGGAGTGCCCAGAGGGGATGTGCAAGAATGGGGGATGTTTTCCTGCTGGGGAAAACCTCCCCAGCTGCTGGTGGGCAGAAGGACACGAGAGAAGAATTCAGCCCGGCGAACACGAGCCTGTCCATGAGACTCCCAAATGGAGAGGCTGAGCATGAGCTCAGACTGAGGGAGAGGTGGATCAGGAGGGCTTCTCTGCTGGTGAAACCCGTGCTGTGCCCAGAGCTTTGGTGCCCTCTTTCCTGTGCCTGGTTCCTCCGTTGCTGGCCCGGGAATAGCGGCGCAGCCGCTGATGGAGGTGGGGCCAAGCGCCAGGAGGAAAAGGGCTGGGTCACACCTGAAGGAGACTGGAAAGCTCAAGGCCATTTTCCCCCTGGGAAAACAGCTCAGATCTGGATAATGATCTCGAATAACATCTGCAGTCCATCCTTAGGGGGCATTTTTATCCTGGATTTCAAAGAAAATTCAGCTTGTGCAACCCCTGTGTGCCTCATCCACCCTCCACGCTTTTTCACAGGCATTTGGCACCCTCTTTGATAACGCTGCATTGCAGGCCCTGTCTCAGTAAGACTTCCACGTTTATTTCCCTGTTCCAGCCCTTCTGATGGATGAGGAGTTCTGGCTAGGCTTTGGGTCATGGGTGATCACTGGGGAGCTTCCTGTGAAGAGAAGGGGTGGCAGTGTCAGCTCAAGCCTGTACTAGTCACCAGAAAAGGGGCTGCTCACTTGTGGCTTGTCTTGGTGGCAAAAGAAAAAGGACTGAAGCCTAAGGAAGATATCCTGTAAGATATGGAAAGGGAGGGAGGAAAGTTCGAGCACAGCCCATTTCCAGGTTTGGTCCTGAACCACAGCCCCCTCCTGCTCCATTTGTCCTGTGTAATGTGAGGAGCCAACCTCAAGTTATCAAGTTAACAACCTCAGTTATCAAACTGCAAACTAACAAAAAATAATAGTAACAATTTCAGAAACCATCCTAAAGTCATGTTTTCACACAGCTTTCTCGGTTTCCCCCCCGTGTTCTGGTGAGCTGCTGCTCTCTCTGCAGAGGCGGCTCTCGCTCCCTCCCTCCCAGTGTGTGTGTGTGTGTGTGCTCACACGGGGGGCTTTGCACACACCCAGAGCTCCCCACTAGGACACAGGGCCTCGCCTGCCTCAGTGGCAAAGAAGACAAAAAAAACCAAAACCTGAATTCAGCCTAACCCAGCTTCCATTTGCCCCGTGAAGCTGAGGGTGGATGGCGAGTGTGGGTGTGGGTGCCTGCGCGGCTTTGCCAAGGGCTCGGGGTAGAGGCAGAGCTGAGGAGGGGAGCAGGCTGTGCCTGCTGCTGTTAGCATTGATTTTCTCCTTATGGCAGTGCTAATTATAGCAGCAAAAAGAACTAATTGCTGTGTGTTAGGCACTTTTATCTCACCCTGATACCTTTTCTCCCTCCAAGAAACGGAATTATTCCCGTCCCTCCGCAACAGGGACGGACCTGCCTGTGGTGGTGTAGGCACTGATGGTCCAGGTACAGCCACCCTGGCCCTCCAGGAAATGTTCCTGTAGGATTTGCTGGCAGGGTCGTGTTGTTTGTAATCAAAAGTGCATTATGCAGAGGAAAAAATTGTAACGTGTAACTTTTTGTGTCCCTCCTCTGTAATTCAGAGGGGTGACTGAAGGCTTCTCTGTGCACGGAAACCCCAAAACTAGTTTTAATTCATTAAATGTATGTATTAAAAATGCTTTATTTTGACCAGGTCAGGCTCCTTTCCAGGCAGGTGGAGGTGTGCCTGGCTTGGGTGAGTTTTATTTTTTGATGGGCATGAATGAAGTGAAAGCCCTTGGAACTCATCCCCTCAGCACCTGTACAGAAAGAAGGTCTGTGAACCTGTTCTCACCAGGAATTTGGATGAATTTTGTTGCTCCTCCCATTCAGACAAGCCCCAGGGCCCTCTGATAGTTCTTCCCAGGGAGCTGGAGGGAAGCAAATCTGATTGTCCTGAGATTTGAATGATGGAGTAAAGATAAATTAGGGGGGAAGATGACAGAATCCTTTACCAGCAAGGAGCACTGAAACTTTCCTTCCATTTGCAGGGCAGCCTGTGAAACAGTTACTTGGGATTTTAAATTCCCGGTGCACTTCCTCCTTCCAGCCGAGAGGGCAGGAGCTCCGGGCAGCCGCTGCTGGAGCCCTGCTGCTTTTACAGCCGGGCTGGTGTGACTGCAGGTCGGGCAGCCAGCCCCGGGGACACCGGCGGGTCACCTCCAGCTAAATCGGCTAAGGTGTGGGGCTGCCACCCGGCGCCAACACCTCATACTGCCCTGGCCAGAGGGGGAAAAGCAGCCCCCAGACATCCCACGCTCCTTCCCTGGCATCACCAGCATGAGGGAGTGAGGAGAGGGGTCTGGATGCCCCTCCCCACCATATCCCCCCCCCGCCTTCCCCATGGCATCCCCTCGTTTTGGGGTGCTGCAGAGGGTACCAGACCCGGGGAGTGCAGCCTGGCTCCCTCCTGCAAGTGCTTCCCCTGAGAGGGGATGAAATGCGGGCAGAGGCCAAAGTCTGCCTGCTCAGCGGCAGGGAGAGGATGCAATCCCAGCAGTAATAATTATATTGGTGGCAATTGCACAGACCCTTGCCCGCGGCCGGCAGGAACAGCGGCAGCGCTGCTGGGAACTGAGGGCAGGGGTGCTTGCTGGCTTAGGGCTGGGCTGCTTCTCTCCTGGAAATCATTGTCAAAGGGAGATCAAAACCGTTGTGCACGGCTCCCCGAAGTGTTGGCAGGGTAATTCTGCAGTCACGCTGCAGCTTGCAGGGTGGAAGTTGTGGGGGGTCCTGGCCCCCAAAGCAGGCTGAGCTGCCCCCCCAGCTCACACCCTCCCAGGGCTCTCCCATAGTGAGGAGGGGTTCTTGGGCTGCAGCCATGAGGGCAGCAGGGAGAGGAAGGCTCATCTGGGTGTGTGTGGAGGGGCCAGAGGCACCCATGGGTGCTGCAGCCAGCTCTGAGCCCCCTCAGCGGTCAAACCAGAGCTGGAAGGAAGGGGCCCAGCTGGAAGCAGCACCACTGCACTCCCATGGCCATTCCCAGCAGCAGGGTGTGTGTGTGCCGGCGTTTGGCTCGTCCTGGGCGTGTTGGAGCACATGCTGTGCTGTAGCACAGGCGGGACAGGCGGGGACTCTCCAGCAGCAGCGCTGGATCCCCATTGGAATCAGCCCTGCCCCTGCACGCGTAGCGCCAGGACAAGGAGCAGGAAAGGTGCATCCCTAACAAGGCAGTTCTCAACACAGGGCTCGGGATATCCTGTCCTGTCCCCTAGCCCTGCCTGGAGCTGTTTTGTGCCTGGGATGGCATCACCACTGCCAGTGGCCAAGGCTGTCCTGGTGGTCTTCCTTGTCGGGGAGGAGCTGGGAGGAGTGCAGCAGAGCCATCTTCTCTTTCTCCTGCTGCCAAAACCCCAGGGAGCTGCACTGCCAGGGTGCAGCAATGGGACTGTCCCAGAGCACCCAGCTGGGAACAGTTATTCCTTCCTCCAGCTGACCCTCTCTGCTCTTATCACTTCCTTCTCACTCCAATAATCCTGCAAAGGGAGAGTGATGGCAGGGACAGAGCCTAGCCCCTCCTGGAGATTTTTGAAATGGTAAAGAAATGCTTGAACTCCCTACGCATACAATGGGATTTATGGCAGCCGTCATCCGGCAGGAATGAGGAAGCCTTGGGGGGCCCCAGAGGTGCCATTTGTCCTTGGGGAGGGGACAGGGGATTTTCTACCCCCGAGGTTTGAGCTTGGCAGTGATGGCAGGGCTTGTGGGAGCGGGGAAGCACAGCTTATCACGCCGTGCCAGCTGCGGGAAGCACGGGGTTCAAAGGCACGCTCATTATTTTCAGGAACCTGGAAACAGACTGACTGAGTCAGTCCCCAGTTGTGGCTCATCCAGCGTTTTTCCACCATCCAGCGTTTTTTTATTTTTTCACGGAGAGCTTTCCCCCTGTCTTCCCAAACCCCGACAAATGCTTGTCATCCCGGTCAGCTAATGGGCTTCGCATTCCTTTCTTGAGCTCTCAGCCTCCTTGAGCTCATCCTGGTGTGCAGCGCATCCCGACAACAGTACATCCTGGTGGCAGTGCATCCCGATGTGCTGTGCATCCTAGTGCCAGGGAAAATGAGTCTTTTCCAGGGCAATATCTCCCATTTGCATGGGAAGAAGACTCAGGCTGGGCAGCAAAATGGGAACAGGGAGATGTGGTGATGATGAATCGAGCATAATGCAAGGAGGGAAAATGCCTCTCACAAGGATAAAGCCAGGGAGTGAGGTGTCAGCAGA